CTGGCTGGAAAGGGGGAAGGAAACATAAGACTGAAGAAGGAATGTAAGAAATAAAATGAGACCAAAATGGACCAGCACATTTAAGGGCACTGAAGGGTAGTTTGAGTTCAATATGGCAGGCAACAAGAAGCGGGGAAACAGTGGGCAGTAGAAATTGTACAGAGGGAAGCTGAAATCCATCCTGGCTAGTGAGGAAAAGCACTTTAGCATTCTTAATAGAGGGCATGCATATAGCAAGAAGGCTGCTGGAATCAGCTAGAGGATAGAAATGGATATTTGTGTTTTTATTATTATCATGGACCCAAGAATGCAACCTGCCTGAGATGTTCAGTGCAACAATGGAGAAATGAGGGGGAAGGAAAAATAAGTTCTTTGGGCACCTTTGATTTCAGCCAGGCAATGTCAGATGATGTGTCCCAGGTACCTGGTAAGTGAAACTGTTTGGAGGGAGAGGTAGATTTCTGTGCCGTCAGAAGAGAGAGAAGTTGATCTATGAGAAGTGGCTGATTAAGAATAAGATGTGAAGGCAAGGATAGAGCAGCAAGGACCGATCCCTTTAATCAAATCAGTCATTGTTAAAGGAAATGGTACACATAAGACTGTTCACCAGCTATACTTGAATGCATTAGAAACCTCCAAGGTTAGTTCAACAGGTAATGTAGCCAGTCTATTCTGTGTTTAGTTAAAGGTTCCCTTAATGCCAACTCCTTAGGAAGTCTGTAAGCTAGTGGGTGTGTCTACTGTACAGCAGACTAATATGCTGCACAGTAAAGCATCACCATTTACATGTGTGACAATTAGGACGCAGTAGACTAATTTACTGCGCTGCCAGATACCACTTGTAAATTACTGCTCTTAAACGCATGTGCAGATGGTGATGTTGGGATTAGTTTACTTTGGCTCAAATTGAGCTGGAGCATATTCATTCACAGTAATTGCATGTGTAGATGCACCCTGTGTTTTCTGCATATTAACCACAATTGTCCAGCTTTATCTCCAAGTTTTAAGCCAGCCTATCAGTGTGCCTGTTGGTCAGCAAAATTCTTCATGTCTGCTGCTTTGGAAATATTTCGTTCTTCCCACATCATTTAAATTACTTTGTTTCACGTGGAAAATAATATAGTCTAATTCAGACAAGCAACCTAGATAGGAAGGTGTATTTTCACATGTGCAGTAGAGTCGGCTACTTTAATATGAAATTTTAACACTTCCATTACTGTGTCTTGAAGAAATTTCTTAAAGTAGAAATGGCAATGCCTCTTGGTTTAAGTATAAGCCAATGAAAAGGTGCCTTTGTGTTTCTTACTGGTGAGATTATCTTCTTCTTCTTTGAAAGGGCATCTAGTCCAACCCAAAGTCTGACTAGTTCAAACGAGAGTAACTGAAGAAGGCAGAGGCTGATGTGGCTCTTAGAAAAGAAAAGGAGGCCTTGTTGCTCAAAGAGTTTCCCTGATTTATTATATACTATTGGGACTTTCCATTTTTGGTTATTTTGGCTCCAGGATTGTTTTCCTTTGCTCCCTTGGGGAAATCATAATGAAGCCAGAAGATAGTGATAGTAATCAAAGCCATGTAGGTTTTATTTGATAACCTATGACATGCTTGGGCATGTGTGCATGAGTTTGACATATTAAAAGGTAGAGTGGATG